CTGCGCCCGCCCGGGCCGAGGTGCGGGGATGCGCCGCGTCTTTTGGGGGGAAAACAGCGTGTGCTATATCGCCGCGTGAGAAATTATGTGCTGTGTGTTATTCTGCAGCGTTTACAGTAATTTATCATCAGAGTGAGATGCAGGTTTTCCAGTTGCACCAATCAGCGTTTTAAGAATGCGATAAATTTTTATTGCATGAAGTGCGTTTAATTTGCAGATACTCTCGTACACCCAGTGAGCACATCGTCAGCTGTGCCCTTCGCTCTACAGCCGAAAATGGCTGACTGGCCTCAGTCCTGCTGCTGCTAAAGGCAAGGAGAGTTTTCTTATAGGTGGGGAGCATAAGGAAATGCGGTTCTTGTGCTTGGGGCTGGGGGCATCTCTATAGCCAGATCCACTGGGGTTTTTTCCCCACTCGCTCTGTAAGTTGAAATCAGTTTGTTAGAGCTAATTGTTAACTGAGACGTGCATATTAGATTTTGATTTGGGTCTGAAGCATACTTTTAAGCTGACTGTTCCTACTTGCTGTGTTTCTGTTGACATTGCAGAGCAGCCCCGGAGCTCACGAGTAGTTTCTTTACACAGGCAACTAAAGCAAAGAAGTGCTCCAGCACTGCTCTGCTGCTGCTCAGGGATGTCCACGCCACAGGGTTAGTCCAAATCAAACCCCCCTGAGATGCCCTCTGTGTGCGGGTCAGGTCCTCAGTGCCAAATGCTCTGTTTTGTGCTCTCGCTTCTATAGCCTGGCCCACCAGCAGATGTAGATATCTCCAAAGAGCATTATAAAAGGTGCTGACTTGCCTGTCCTGGAGGCAGAAATCTGCCTTGCACACAGCACTGGAAATGGTAAGGCATGTTTTCCCTTGTTGCTCTGCTGTTCTTGAGCAGTCAGCTCACATGGTGGGGAGTATTCATGCCTCTGCATTCCTGAGTTTGGTACTAGGAATGCAAACAACTGCCATCCCTGAGCTGGCTTTGTGCTGCGAATGTTTGTCCGCTGGGAACGGAAAGCCAGATGTGCTTCACATAGTTTCCAGGCAGCACTGATCCATCAGATGACAGTAGCTATTGAGTGCTCTTATGGTGGCCCAAAAACACAAAGATGAAAGCCTGATGCCTGTCAGCACCTCCCTTGCCATTCCTGTGTCACTTCAGTATTCACTCGAGTCCTCTCACAAAAGTAAATGCCACAGAACAAGTTGTTGCAATGTTAATGGCCATTATTTTTGAGAAAGAAAATCATGAGTTTTATAACGTTGAACTGTCAGACAAATTTGGAATCCTTTGAACTTTGTTGTCAAATGCTTTCCTGCACTCGCTCCCACTGCCCATGCAGCCTCAGCTGGGAACCCACCCTCCTCTTCAGAAGCATTTTCCACAGCATCTCCTGGATGGATTTTATCAGGGAAGATGAACAGTATTTGAATGTCCTCTCAAACAAAGGTATTTTCATGGAGTAAAGAAAAATTATATCTGATGAACAGTTAAAGAGAAAACACTATATAAATAGACATGGAATAATTTCTTAAAGAGTGGTTTGTATTGTTTCCCAGCTGCTCTGCCTTTAAACAGCCTCTTACCCCCAACTCAGGGGCTCCACCAATTGTAAAAGCAAGAACTAACCAGTGCCAGATTCAAGTCTCAAAATACAAACCATTTTAGATATGGGGAGCAAAGGGGTGGGGGGCTGATTCATAAGAAAACTTCTAAGCATTATTGTAGCATAAATAATATGGCATCTTTCACCTCAAATAGCCTAACACTTCATAAAGTGATATGAGCTTCACTAGTTGCTGAAACACAGCTATTTCTGAAGTGGAACCTGATACATATATACACAATTTATTTTTTTTCTTCTCCCCAGCAGAGAGCAATATTTTAAGGTGGAGAGTGAAGGATACAATACACAACCAATTGTAAGTATAATCTAGGAGGGTTTTGCAAAATGGAAAGATCAAGTAATAATACACATTCTGCTGTATTATAAACTTACATCCTTAGTTTACAAACACAATTCATTTAAGAGAGATACAGGAAACTCAAATAAATTTTTGTCCTCTCTCTTTCAGCAATACGCTCTTACAAGTCTTTAGTAGCAGATTCTCTGGTTCCTTTCCTCTCTTCATTTAATTTGATGTCCAAGTCCCGGAGCTGGCTGAGGAATCCTGAATTTGGGCAGATGTCTCTGTGAGCGCTCACTGTTTTCAGAGCATCCACAAGTGTCATGTTTTCATGGATCATTAAAAAGGCAAGCACTAAAGATGCAGAGCGGCTTACCCCCATGGCACAATGAACAAACACCTTACCTGCAAAAGAAGAGGTGCAGCAAGGTGAGTGAGCTTTCGCATGTCTGAAGGGAGAGGGACACAGGGAGGACAAAAACTACTAGAAACTAGGTGGGAAAACAATGGTGACGGTTAGTGGATACTCATGTTTTCATGGACAGTTAGCATAAGGTCGCGTCGTACATCTCAGGCAAGGTGGTATTTCATACTGACCTCATGCATCTAACCTAGGCCTCGGATTAAAATAGTTGAAATTTTCTATGGAAGGGAGAAGCTTTCTGCGACTAAACTTGTTACTGTAGTTTTCTGTGGAAAAAAAGCAGTTTTGGCAGAAAATTTTGGCCCAACCCTGACTGCGATCACTGACAAGTCCCATAAACTTCGTAGGATAGTCTGCCTGTAAAAATGGACTCATAATTTACTGTATCTCAGCAGCCCAGTGTGAGCTATAACTGGGGATTTAATAAAGCACTCCAGTGAAAGCAGCAGATCTCGCAGCCAGAGTTGGAGCAAACTCTGGAACAAATGGAAATTATGATAACTAGGCCATAATCCAAACTCTGCTGACAAAAATGCAGCAGGCTGTGGGTCAGACTCGCCGTTTTTGACTTAGTTCATTAACTTCTGCTGCTTCTCTAGATTAATAGATAGTCTGAATAAAGCTCCAATTCTGCGAAGCACTTAAGCACGTGAAGCATTTAAGCCAGCGCTGAAGTGCCGCTGCTCCCAGCTGAGTGCATCGGGAGCGGGAGCGGGAGCAGGGCTGCTGTGCCTGGGGTAGGATCGCAGGGCTGGAGCCTGTGCTGGCGTGCAAGGGGTGCGAGGTGCACGTGGAGGCACACGGATCCTCCCAAAGGACCCGCGGTGCCATAACCTCTGCCCTTCCCTCTCGCTCTGCTCCTAGTGTTGGCCCTTCCTCCCACCACGCTGGGTTTGGGGCAGGCAGCCCCCCCCAGCTCCCGGGGATCTGGCTGTGGCCACCTTCCCTGCAGCGCATGGCATAGGCGCCCTTGTCCCATCCTCCGAGCGGCGGTTCTGCCTCTGCCTTCTCCAATTGTACGCTGAATCTGAGCTTTGGCTGCCTGTTACTGCAAGGAGAAGCCATTTGGCTCATGTTGAAACTTCCTCCCAAAGCTTCTTTTTGCCTCCCTCTTACCTCCTGAAGTGTTTAAGGCTTTGCCTATAAAATTGGCAGCATCGCAGAAGAAGATACTTAAATCAAAGGAAGGATCATCAAATGCTTCTACTCCATAGTACTCTATTTGCAGATCTTCGTAATATTTGGCTCCCGTGTTGATGCTATATGGCCCATCTGCTGCATTAAGGATATGAGTAATGTTGAGGCTTTGAAGAGTAGCTTTGCTCCTAGCAGCCCACCTGTTGAAAGACACGAAGGGCTCATTGGCAACACTCCTAATATTCTGCTAAAATAGCATGGTTTAAAGTTAGTGCCGGCTCCCGCTAGTGAAGGATGCAGGAACTGCAGCTTGCTGACAGTAGCAAATTTTGAGAAGCCCGTAGTGCTTTGCACGTGAAAAATGTGATATGGTGTTGTGGAGAGCAGCAGGAGTACAGACTTGCTGGTGGGATACTGTTAGTTAAGCGAATGCCTCCCAGCAGTTAATCCTTGGGAACATAGCATACTGCATAAAGTGGTCAAGATTTTCCTTTAAATAGCTGTTTAGCAAGTTCCAGAGCTAATCTCTCATTCATAGTGTGCATGAGTCGCAAGATCGAGAACCCATAGAGGTGCAGCAGCACCTTGTTCCTGGTTTGGACATGAAGCAGCTGCATCATGCTCACCAGCCAGGTTCTTCCCTCTTCCCACCATAAACTGGGACTCAAGTTGTTCTACAGGAAAAAAAAAAAAAATTTAAAAAAGTCTCCTCATGTATTTATGAAGAGTTAGGAAAAATGAGCTGATGATCTATCTAATCTGCAGTAATCCAAATAGAAGGAAATAGCAATAAATACAAGTGGTCACAAGAATAAGGTATTTGCATGAAAATTCCTGTTTGATATTTTCAGTTTTACCATCTTTGAAAGAAAGTTTGGATTTGGACTGGCAAACTCCCTATTGTGTAATTCATTTGGGTCCTCCTCCATCTGGCTCTTGGTCCTGCTACTCCTATTTGACTGTGAGGGCTACTGTGTTCTTGTCTGCTGCCTTGGAGCACAGTTTCCAGGGCAGGTAACACATCTCAGAGTTGATGCTGATTTGAAATGGGTTTTTAAAGACTTTGCCTAGAATACAAATAATTCTAACCCTGCCAAATCTGCTGTGGTTCACAGAATATAGAAAACCCAACTCAGATACACTATGAGTAAGTTACCATTTTGTATGTCATGTTTTTCATGACATCCAAACTCCCTATGTTATCAATTTTGGAAGCCTGTATTGCGAAAACATTCCTGCCGACCTGAAAGCTGGTCCCCAGTGTACCACCCCCGCTCCTCCTGGGGACCAATAGCAGCTTAATGATAGGACCATATGTTCTTACGCATCTCCCAGGTAAATATTTGGCCAGACTTGGTCCACATGATTGTCAGAACCTCCTCTGAACCAAAAGAGCCGCTGGAGGTCTGATAGCGCTGGTGTTTCATAGGAAGCTCTGCTCCCTGCGGAGTCTCTGGCGTGAGGCATCTTGCTCCTCTCTTGCACGCACTTGGGCTGTATCAGAGACAGCTTTTCTGAAATGAATTAAGATGAAATTTTCATACAGAAATAATATTCCCTAGAAAGTAGTCCTGTTCATTACCCTCCAAATAGCATTACATTATTATAACTAGTATGTGCAGCGGGGCCTGCAGGTGTTGCTAAAAGCATCCAGAGAGCAGGACTGAGTCTGTGTTAGGACTCTACAGGCATGTAATTCATCCCCTGAGAAAGCAACAGCATAAGACGATATGATTTAATTTCTTGTCAAGTAACGCTGTTGAAAAAGAACATCCTGTGCCACCCGAATGCAGCACTGGCTGAAACTCGTAGGTGCAGGCATTATTTCTGTTACTATAGCGCTGGTGAGTGTATGTGGGAAAGCTGCAGTACTTTATGTTGGAGAGTTACCAAAGTGTTTGTACGCACTTGATTCTCGTTAGTTAAAACTGGAAGTTTTTGAAAGCATCAATCATTGGACTGACTTATATTTACAAAGCTTCTAGGGCCAAGGTGGAAATCTTAGGATGTGTATGTAAGACATATAGTCATATAGTGTATGTGTATACATATATAAAAAATGTACATGTGTACAATTTTCTTTCATTTATAGGGATATATTTAAACACTATACATGTATGTATATGCATGCGTGTACGTTATGAATGGATTTTCACATGCAAGTATACATATCTATATGTACGTCTGTATGTGTATAAATAGAAATGGAGGTAATTTGAACTAGTTTTTTCTGTCTCTCAGGTGAATACCCCTGTACACTCAGTTATACTGGTATACTTGCATCCGCCTGTCTCCGTCTCTCCTCTGGGAGCTGTTCCACTTTGTATAAATAATGTGATAGCTATTTGCCTCCAGAGAGAGGCTGTTTCTCTCATCTGAGGGGCAGGGTACTTACCTGGCATGTGAGAAAAAAGAGCAGCTGAGTTTTGGGAAATTACAAACCTGAAAGTTCTGGCTTTGTTGCCCTGTTGAGAATCCCATCTAGGACTGTTTTGCTCCCTCACAGATCATGGAGTGGAATAAGGGCATCCCTTTGGCAATGGTGTTTGCCGGTTCAGATCCAGGAAGCTCAGGCCAGCCAGTCCAGCCTGAAGTAGGGCTCAGTCAAGAGCAAGTTCAGAGATATCCAAGCAGTCCCTGCTCTGACACTTTAGGAGCATTTCTCCTGCCAGGATCTCGTTATTCTGAATTGCTGTTCTCACCTCCAGAGAATATTGATGAGTTTTGTTTGGTTGCTTGTTGGTATTAAAGCCATAATCAACATGTGAGCCACACTAGAACTCTTCCCGAAGTGGGGTGGCTGGTGTTTATTCTGATGTGACATCAGCTTTCACTCTAATGCCTGAATGCCTAAATCTAGAGTTTGAGTCTATTTTCTCAGCAATTCTAGAAAACAAGTGCAGATGGGACCTTTGGAAGCCATCTAGCCTGTCCCCTGCCCCGCAGCAGCAGCAGTAGCCGGATGGATGTTGCTCCTAAAGCAACAACAACTTTGTCCAAACATCCAGATACGTTATTTTTAACAGTGTGGGCTGATTTGGGAAATAAGTAGAAAGCAAGGGAGAATATCCTGTTGATTATGGAAAAAGAAGTAGAGATGATGCAAGGCACATTATTGAACACACCACATATATTTCTGTGACCTCAGCCTAAATTTGCTTCCTCTGCCCCCTACTCCCTCCTCCTTGCCACAAATGTTAAGAGGAGTTACAGCTTTTTGTACGTTCCAATAAAAAGGAAGTCTCCCTAGGGTAAGTACTTAATAGGCAAAGTATGAAAAGCACAATAAAAATTACAGGAGAAATGGAAAAAAAGCTGACTGGTTTTACTTTTAATGATGAAGAAAAAGAACTGCAGGGAAGTAGAGAGGAATATAGGGATAAAAGCCTATGAATTTTTCAGGGCAGACAACATAACACAAAGCGCTTTGGTAAATGAATATGTTGTGCAATTGCAGCACAGATTAACATGAAGAATAGCACAGAAAAAAGATTCTGTGCATTGCCCTACAAGTTTCACTGCCTTGCAAAAGTTATGCACTGTGCTCAAGAGCTACTGCCAGCATCGTCATGATGACCTGTTTGTACTTTCACTGACAGAGAATGTTAAGCTGAAGCAGTAAAAGGAAATCAAGAAAAAGATAATACAGGTTCTACATCAGGAGATTCATAAGACCACAGGCTCATTTTCAAGGAGTGTGGCTGACTTTTGATCGCTGCAGGTGTTTAAAAGCTGAAGTTGTGGAGGTAAGCAGATGGATACTAAACTTTCGGTTCTCCTAGCCCCCATTGCTTTAAACTTCTGCTGTAGCCTGTCAGCTAGTTACAGTAATGGAGATGATCAGCAGAAGGAGAGAAAGGGATGATTAACAGAGAGAATTACATTGCAAGGCTTCTTGTTCAAGAACTGACTTTGAGGAGGTTCTCCGAGAATTGAGTCATTTTGGTGCCGGTGAAACTTAGCAGGCGACTCCAGCCTTTGCAGCCGGGGAGGTGCTTTGCAACAGAGCTCCCTTTCATACAGCAATCCTCTTTCCAAAAAAGTGCGTCAACATCGTTTGCTTCACATGACTGATGCCAGACAAGCGAGCTCCTCGTGTCAACGCGAAGCGTAGCTCCTCCCAAGCACACTGCTCAGTCCTGAGCTACACTGGCCTTGAAATTGAATTGTTCTGCAGAGCCTTTGGGGTAAGCTTGGAAATAGCTATACCAGATGATTGGACTAATGAGGAAAGTAATATGAATTTTTTAATTGAAGGCCAGGGACTTTGCTGAGAGTTTCCCCACCCCACCTCTTCTACTCTAAGATACTGCAAAGCTAGCAAAGTGCTGCCACCGATTACATTTCTCTAAGCTTCTCCCTCTGGGTGGCTCCCAGAAGCTGGAAACAGCCAGTGAGTGCAGGAGGGCAGGAGCCCCTGTAATTGGGGAAAAAATATTTTCTCTCCTACAAGGTCACTAATGTTTTCTGCAGAGATCTAGACCATGCAAGTTGGATAGGATTACTTTTCTTTTAAACCGTAGCCTGGAAGTACCTAAAGAGCATCTCATTAGATTCTTTCTTTCTATGTTTCTCTCCTCCTTCTTTTTTTTTTTTTTTTTTCCTGGTTAACAACAAAACAGCAGCAACAAGAAAAAGCCTTCTATCTATAGGAGACATTTGAGACTGGATAGAGGTTTTAAGGGCAATCCAGATGTATTAACCTCCTTGCTTCCCTGGGAGAATACAAGGTAGCACAAGCTTTAAAACTGTTTTGTCGCTACGCACCAGTTCCCAGACACCTAGAGCAGTGGGGTGCACCCCAAATGGCTGGGGCCTGCTCGGATCCACAGGCGGTTGGATGTCCCCAGCAGCTGGAGAGCCGCCCCGGAGGCAGAGGCTGCAGGTGGCTGCAGGGCATCGCCGAGCTGCGGGCAGTGCCCAGGAAGGCTGCGGGTTTGCCTGCAGCTGGGCGCAGGGACTCGGTCATGCCAGGACCTCGTCTACAACAGCCTAGCCGAGCTTTGTATCTCCCTGATAGTATCCAGCCACTTGAGGGTTTGGTTTTTTTTTTCTTTTTCTACATTGGAAACAATTGCTGTTTTCTACTGAAGATTTTTCTGGCTAAGAAAAGAAAAAAAAATGCACAACCCCCACTGACTTGAATTGGCTAAAGCATCTAATAGATTTGTGTTGCATTTGCAGATTCCAGTCAAGGAAAACTCAGCAAAGTTCTGGAAAAAATGGAAACACTCTGTTTAGGTTTGAAATAGTTCATTTTGTTATTTAAAAAAAAAAAAATTACCATTTCCATTTTTCTATTCAAAATTACTGTTGTTTTGGAATTTTACTTTAGCATTGCAGAAAAATCTTTTAAAATATTAAACCAAGATGAAGTGGCTTGTTTCTGGTTGAGAAAAACATGTTTTATTTAACTAAAAATGAACCCAAACTAACTGAGCAGCCACTTATTCACCTAGCCTTCATTTTGACCATTTTGCCATAGTTTCACCTTGTCTCCAAAAGGCAAAACTGAGCTGTAGAGAGATTAAATGACTGTCTGAAGTGCCAAGAGGAGTCTGGGACAGGGCATTTGTTGGGCCTCAAGTTATCTTTCCTCTATCCCTTTTGCTAGCACCTTCCTAGCTGGCACAGCTCTGCTTGCGGTTATGATGGTATGATCAAAAGCGTGACCAGCAGGCCAAGCCCCTCTACTCGGCTCTTGTGAGACCCCACCTGGAGTACTGCATCCAGCTCTGGGGGCCCCAGTACAGGAGAGACATGGAGCTGTTGGAGCAAGTCCAGAGGAGGCCATGAAGCTGATCAGAGGGATGGAGCACCTCTCCTATGAGGACAGGCTGAGAGGGTTGGGGTTGTTCAGCCTGGAGAAAAGGCGGCTCTAGGGAGATCTAATTGCGGCTTACCAGTACCTGAAGGGGCCTACAGGAAAGATGGGGAGGGACTGTTTATCAGGGAGTGTAGTGACAGGACAAGGGGTAATGGGTTTAAACTAAAAGAGGGTAGATTAAGGTTAGATATTAGGAAGAAATTCTTTACTGTAAGGGTGGTGAGGCACTAGAACAGGTTGCCCAGAGAAGTTGTGGATGCCCCATCCCTGGAAGTGTTCAAGGCCAGGCTGGATGGGGCTTTGGGCAATGTGGTCTAGTGGAGGGTGTCCCTGCCCATGGCAGGGGGGTTGGAATTAGATGATCTTTAAGGTCCCTTCCAACCCAAACCATTCTGTGATTCTATAGTAGCCCAGATGGGGCCAGGTGTCTTTCAATAACAAGGTCTTAAATGAAATTATTGATAGCCTTGGGCACAGCAGGGCACTGATTTTGGCTGGACCTGTTGTTAATACAATAACACAAACATTAGATAACAATAACAATACAGAAAGTTCCTGCAGCCAAACATCCTAAATTCCCTGAATCAAAACCTGTCATACTAAATGGTTCAAAATACCAAAGCATGAGATCAGAATATAATTCACTTGGGGGGGGGGGGGGGGAATAAAAATTGCCTCACAA